TATTTTGAAACAATTTATTCCAGTGATGGCAAAGCTACATTTTCTGCAGCCATTACTCCATTTAGTAGGGCCCTATTTTAATGATATAAGCGTATGGTCTAAAGCACACAGCACAGGTGCACTTAGGGCATGTCAGAATCTACTGTTGCTAGTTTAATGACAGGAAAATGGTCTAAAGGGGTTGTCCCTATTCTCTTAATGAGTAATGGGTGTGCTTTGGGTGTAACGTGCAATAAACCAATCAGAGTCTCATCTCCCATTCCCTTTAAAAGCCAGTTCCTCTTGCGCCATGGTGGATTCGCTAATTACATGGCAGAATTTGCAAGCAGAAAAATGCTTCTCTAGCAAGGAAACTTGCAAGGATCTGTTTGTGCACGAGGTTAAAGAGTGTGAGAAGACCATTTACGGGACAAGCCGGATTCCAAGGCTATCCATTATGACATGTAGGCATTCTTATATTTATGTACACAATAATAATAACCTTTTACATTTTAATCCTTTAATTTTTCATATTTAAAAATGTTTGTGTGCTGCTGCCCTGTGTGTGTAATAAGCAAAGTGTACACGTGTTGTGGACCTCCCTATAGGCGCATATTACTAATGCGCTCTTTAAACAACAAAAAAAATTGCACCATTGACTTTAGACCAGGTTTTAGTTGGTCAATGGCGCAGTCTATTTCAATTGCCTCAAAAACGTGCCAACAATGCGCCTAAACACACCTCGTTTTCAGACCAGCATGCCCATGGGTGGTGCAGGACGTGAAAATGAAAACTGTGTCGTGATGATACTAGCAAAAAACACATGCGCCGGGTGTATGATACAGGGTTCTTACACCTTTTCCAAATTCAAGCACTTTTCAAGCACTTTCAAGGTGCATTTTAAAGCTTTTCCAGCACTTTAAACTGTGGTAAATGACATGCACCTATTTTGATATGATTGCAATACATGCAGTGACTGCCATAACTGTTTTGCTGGAGTGTTTGGAGCAGAGAAGGATGGCTGGAGAATACTGACGGAGAGAGAGTGCACTAGAGGAGAGGAGCTGAGAGAAGAAGGTCACTGGGGTGTATCTTTGATCTGCCACTTAGGTGCGGGACGGAGAAGAGAGCCGTGCCATAACTGACAGCCAGGAGTGTGATCAGAATAACACCCATTTCAAATCAAACAAGCGGACCCTCCCTTTTCTCCCTCCCTCGCACATATACTCTGACTCTCTTCCCACCTTCCTCCCACCTCCTCTCACTTCTCGGGAACAACATATACCTTTCACCGCATACCACGTTCCTTTCATTCCGTTCATTTAAAATGAGGCTTTGAAGTGCCTCGCACTCACGATTTCTTTCACCGAAGGTCAAATTTAACACGTATCTCTGCTCGCAGGTGCCGCAAACCCAAATTTTTTTCCCTAATTAAATGCCGATTCAAACATTAGCAGTTAAAAAGGTAGAACAAAAGCATAAATCAAGGCTGCTGCTTTGATGATCAGTACAATTAAACCATTTAAACCAAACCCACGTCCCCGAGGGCCAAGCCTTCTGCTGTTTATAGAAAGCGACACGCGGCGGGACCTATGCTTTCAGTGCCCACTCAAGCCAACCGAACGTATAATGTCAGAATGTGTTTTTGGCTTCAAAGGAAGCCATTCACTTCCCATTACCACCCACTTAATGGGAGCAGCATCGCTATGATTCACCTGTATTGCATGTATGTGTGAGGGGGTGAGAATGCTGCTGGAAATGGTTTGTTTTTGTCTTCACCCCCAGTGTCCATCCGCTGCCACACTCTATCCTGTCAAAGACGTTCACCATCATGAAGCTACAGCCTGTTCCTCACACCAAATCATCTCATAATGACTCTACAGGCTCCTACACTCACACACTACTGCAGCTAATTGGTGCCGACAGTTTGATGCCTGCGTGCAAGTTCTAGACGGTGGTGAAATGCGCATGTGGTAAAGGAAGTTAAAAGCTTTGGAGGGAACCTAAAAACAGAAAAGGAAGATGGAAAAGGACAAAGCGTAGACAGATGTTGATCATTGGGGTTCGGCAAAGATCTTCACACTCCTGTCTCCAGAACAAGCACCTGACACTAATCCAATAAAGCCTTTTTTCTGTGTGAGCCACTATTATTGACTCGGGTACGACGGCGCATACATGGAGAATAGGGCTGCTCTAGCATGCACGTCTCTTTCCATCCCCAACATCATTTATCATCCTAAATCACAGTCTACAGCTCCTTCTCTCTCTCTCTCTATATATATCTTTCAACTCACCCAACCTCTCGCTTTGCATTCCAGACCGTCACTGTGACATCATTTCTGGGAAGCAGTAAAGGTCAGAGACGATGCACCTCAAAGGTTTAAGATGTCATAATCATAGGGCAGCTTACAAAGGCCATGTATGTCCCAACATCCTGCTTACCAGGCAAACAGCATTGCTTGAACACCAGAACATAGTGTAACACAGATTTCACCTACACATGAGGTTATATTTCAAGGTTTCCTTTAGAATGGGAAATTAAATACAGCCTTCTTTTGCATTTAAGTGAAACACAATGAATTTGTTTTCAACTCACCCAACCTCTCGCTTTGCATTCCAGACCGTCACTGTGACATCATTTCTGGGAAGCAGTAAAGGTCAGAGACGATGCACCTCAAAGGTTTAAGATGTCATAATCATAGGGCAGCTTACAAAGGCCATGTATGTCCCAACATCCTGCTTACCAGGCAAACAGCATTGCTTGAACACCAGAACATAGTGTAACACAGATTTCACCTACACATGAGGTTATATTTCAAGGTTACCTTTAGAATGGGAAATTAAATACAGCCTTCTTTTGCATTTAAGTGAAACACAATGAATTTGTTTGATCTCATATATGATTAATTTGTCACCTTCCAGTGTCACATAATGAAAATCTCAGCTGCTGTTCACTATAAAACGGCATTAATAGCTGTGGTGGCACTAATACTTGTGGTGGCTTGTCTTTCCTAAAACTAAAAGGCGGTAATATACTACACGATTTTTGCCCCGATTTTCCGCCGATTTACTGTCTAGAGAAGTTGATTCTAGTTGGCAAAAGTCAGAGCCAGTCTGCAGATTTGAGTTGACAAATTTCATAGAAAATTATGTTAGTGTATGATGGTGTCAGACTCTGATTTTTTAGCTTCAGACTATAATTCCATCCAGTTGGAGGATATCAAACATGTTTTTACCGATTTTAGAACACCTATCACTTTCATTTGTCACACATCTCCTAGCAACAAGGCACGCATTTTTGCATGAGTTTGTTGTGATTGAAACAACTGGTAGTAACGTCTGGTAGTGTGTGATCCTCAGTTGTTTAGTGTATGATGGCCAGTTTTTCCCCTGTGACTATTACGAAGTCGGTAAGAATAAGATGCCCAGTGTTTTAAAATCTGGTCAGATTTTAAAAGTCGTGTAGTATATTCCAGCCTTAAGAAGGTTGTTTGCTTTCTTGTTGTTATTCTCAGGCCGGCCTATGGACCTTATTTTGCACAGTGGAAATAAGCTAATTTATTTGAATCTGCAAGACTTACGCCTCATTAGCAGCTTTGCTGATGAATTGGTAAATAACTTATTGGTAAAAAACTTGAACCTGAAAGTGCAGTAAATAGTAAAACTATTTGCGCTACAAACCAGTGTGTTTATAATTAGATAATACTTTAAAATAGTATGATTAAAAAAATCTGTTTGCAATGTAAAGCAGTATTACAGGCTGATTTTACAACTGGAAGTGAATGATACCGGAAGTCTCATTCAGTCGGTGTCCGTTCTTAACTTTTTACATTAAAAAAGTGCATTCAAAAGGCGGCTAATGATTCTGTATGCAAATAAATGCAAGAAAGAAGGCTAATTGCAATTCAGTATGAAAATATTTAAGGGATGTCATCACCGTCAGCTACATTCCCAGTGCTAAACATTCATGTCAATGGAGACCCCCCCCCCCCAAAAAAGTACTACACCTAAGGGTGCAGTAGTTCATGCCAATTTAACGGCAGAAAATGAAGAATAAAAGAAAATGACATAACAGGAATTCAACAGCTGCTTAAAAAAAAGTTATTTTAGTATAATTGAAATACTATTATAGTTTTGTATTATTTTGAATACGTCTTTATTTTTAAAATTTCTATTTTCATTTTAATTTTGATTAAAGTTTTAGTAATTTTGTGTTTTTGCCATTTCATTACTTTTATGTCTTTAGTTTTTATTAATTTTCATCTTAAGTTATTTTAGTACATCAAAACTGAAATGAAATCTTTTTTTGTTTCCGTTAACATTTATTTTATTTCAAGTACATTTTTTTTACGGTTTAATTTCAGTTAACTATAATAACCCTGATGCCTACAGTCCTCAAAACGCATAATAACCACCTGACTGATTGGGAGTCAAATGAAAACCTCCATCCTGCTTAAAACTCACATCCTTTGAAGCTCTTTGCTGTGAAAACACCATAACAGCTTGAAGTGACATTTTCCAAAATGACAAGAGAAAGAGATCAGAGGAAACAGATTAAAGAGTGCAGAGAAGGGCTCTTGTTTGGTCAGATCAGTTAGCTTTGAATATAAAGGCCAAGCTCCTGAGATGCAGCTCACTTGAACACATTCAGTCTTAGGTCATTTCACTTTGCTTATCAATCATTTATGTTATGTGAGATTTCACTGCCGGTGCCATCCCTGCTATCAGTGGGATGCTTTTGGAAAGGGGAAATTTGTATTGTTAATATTTAATAGGATCCCACAGGAGCTAATATTCAATTTGGCGCCATGTGTGTGCGTTGAAACTCTGTGTTGCGCATGTATTGCCGTTAGAAACTCAGGGCTACTTTCAGATTCGGAACTGCATAAGAATTGAGCATTATATGCATGAATTATCCCAGAAATCACAGCCAGTGTTTGGTTGTACTGGAGTGCATGCATGTAATGCCACCTCTAAACATAACACAAATGGGCTGCACACAGCGATATGCTACTACTCACCGAAGTCTACGAATGCAGATTGACCCACTTTCTTAGCATTCTCCGGTGCCTTTACAGACAGGGTTTGGGCGAAGTTCCCATCCTAATGAACAGAAAGATTTAACAGGATTAAAACACACGCTTTCATTTCATTTAAAAAGTACATTTCCTTTCATGCAGAGTTTACAACTGTAGAAAGAGAATCCTGTCCTTGAGCAGCAAGAAAAAACGCCTCAGCGGATCCGTCAGAACAGAGCTAATAATTTAGTGCATCAGCCACTGTGGGCATGAATGAGAGGAAGCCTGTACTGACACGGGTTAGGGATCATTGCTGGGTGTCTGTACTTCCTGATGGACATTACGAGACAATGCAGCAAGACAAAACAAATGTGTGGTCTGACAGCCTGACCAGCTGAATTTAAAGGGGAAGTTTCAATCTGATTGACAGCGCACGAGGCAGCGGGGCAGAGAGAGCAGGAGGTAACAGACGGCAGACGTGCGGTGTAGGTGTAGACTGAAGGTGATTGGCAGGTAGGCAGCAGGGGTAACAGAATGATGGCTAATTGGAGTACGGAGGGGTCAGAGGGCAGGGTAAGGCTACTGTGCACATTGATTAGCCCGTATAAGTCAGAGCACAGCATGGCACCGGTGATCAAAGCGCATCTTGGAAACCCACTAAGACAGGAGCTTCAGAAAAGCCTGGGAGACTCAGCCTACATGCTGAACACAGGCCTCCACACAAAAATGCTGTACAGCGCACTGACTGTCCACCACAATAACGTGACGTAGACAGTAGAGAGACATACATTTGACAAGGACCAGATCAAAGCCACATTACTATTGAATGATGAGTCATTCATCATTCGTTGTGGCAGATGCTCATTACATGTCTTACAGGATACGGATAGAGAAGACACGTAGAAGAACATGTCAGAATGAACGAGAATGAAACGAACAGAAGGAAGGACACCAACAGAACAAAGAGAAGCTGAGACCCAGAGCTATACTGTTTTAGATGTATATCACCATCATGAAGCTGCAGTCTTATGTTAAACTGCTTTAAATAACTTTTTTCCCCACATCAATCTACACTTCATACACCATAAAGACAAAGGAAAAACTGATTTGAGATAACTTTATTAAAAGTTAATAAGCTTTTTATTGGAGAAAAAATTTTAAAAAGGAAAAAACTGAAATAATTATATTGCATAAGTATTTATACTCGGTACTTGGAGCTGAAGCCCCATTCACTGTAACCGCCTCAAGTTTTTTTGTCGGTATGATGCAACAAGCATTGCACATCTGCATTTGGGTATTTTCTGTCTATCTTTGCAGATCCTCTTAGGCTCTGTCAGGCTGGATGGCTCTGTCATTTTAAGGTTTCTCCAGAGACGTTTGTCTGGGTTCAAGTCCTAGCTGGTTGAGTCACTCAAGGGCATTTACAAAGTTGGCCATAAGCCACTCTTGCATTGTCCTAGCTGTGTGAATAAGGCTATTGTTCTGTTGGAAGGGGAACCTTCTGCCCAGTCTGAGGTTCTGAGCACTCTGAACTAGCTTTTCATTATGGATATCTTTCCTTCCACCCTGACAAGTCCCCCAGTCCTTGCCGCTTAAAAACACCCTCCACAGCGTGATGCTGCCACTACCGTGCTTCACCACTGGGACAGTCTTGGTCAGGTGATCCAAGACATTATTGTTTGTAATTGAGGTTTATCAGACCAGAGAATCTTGTTTCTCACAGTCTGAGAATCATTTAGGTGTTTTTTTTCTTCTTTAAATTCCTAGTGGGTTTTCATGTGTCTTCACTGAGGAGAGGATTGAGTCTGGCCATGCCGTCATAAAGGCCATACTGGTGGAGTGTTGCAGTGATGTTTGTCCTTCTCCAAGTTTCTCCCATCTCCATATACTCTATAATCATGGATAGTTTGGTCAGCTCTACGAAGAGTCCTGGTTGTTCCCAACTTCTTCCATTATGGAGGTCACATGCTCCTGTGAAGCTTCAATGCAGCAGAATGTTTTGTAGTCGTCCCCAGATTTTTGCTCAACAAAATCCTGCAGACCATTGCTTTGACTTCATGGCTTGGTTTTTGCTCTGATATGCTTTTTCAGCTGTTAGACCTAATTTACAGGTATGTGCCTTACCAAGTCATGTTCAATCAATTGAATTTGGCACAAGTTAACACCAACCAAAGTGTAGAAACATCTCAAAGATGATCCAGCAAAACTGACATGCTCCTGAGCTAAATTTTAAGTGTCACAGAAAAGAGTATGAATACTTACACAATGTTTTTTTTAAATAAATTGCCAAAGATTTCATAAATTCATTTGTTGTTTTGTTATTATGGTGTATAATGTGTAGATTGATATAGAAATAAAGTAATGTAAAGCAGTTTAACTAAATGTTTAACTCCAACAGCATGTGTTTCCCTGTCATTCTCTGAGTTCCAGTGTGTTTTCTCCAACACAAGATCACTCCACCCTCCACTCCCACCAACCTGTAACTGACCATAAATCGCTTCATTACCTCCAGTACCTTCTGAGCCTCAGTCAGCACAAAACACCTCGGTCTAATCACTTCAGCTTGGCCAGATGCAGCATTTCTGTCAGCTTTCAAAGTCTTTCAAAACCAAGATGGCAGGGTGGTAATTGGTCTCTTTATATGTGATGACACATACTGCTTTGGATCACAATTTGAGAGGGGAATAGGAGAAAAAAAAAAAATATATATATATATATATATATAAAAAAAGTCTCTGTGAATCTTGCTTCTAACATTATTTTTAAATAATAAAAATGAAAGGTTTTGTAATGAAACAAACTGGGTCACATGAAACATTGAGGCGGCACATTTATTTAATCTTATAATATATAAAATATTCAATTGTGTTTATAAAATATTCTAAAATATATGCATTCTTTAAAAAACAGACACATTTGGCACCATAATGGACTAGGTGTGTTATTCGTCTTTTTGTAGTGGTTGTCCCACTTGATAAACGAAGATGGTTTATGCGGCAGCTCTTGGCCTGAGGGATTTGTTCATAATTCTCATGAAGCACAAAACTCAAGTGCCTCCTTACTTCTGTGTGGACAGTGTTTATCTATCTCCACTGAAAACTCCCTTGAGCCTTCGCTCTGAAACTGCAGGCACGCATCTTGCGGTCATGAATAATATCGATTGGTGTATGATTGCGGGAGGCAGTTCAACTGTAATGTGATTGTGGCTTATGTAAAGATAATGGTGACTTGACTTGCTCACCCTAATCTTCTCAGAGTAGAATGAGGCCATGTTGAGTTACAGGGTCTGTCTCATTGGATTGATTGAACACTGATGTTAATAGGAAGGGGCTGTAACTGTGGCATGTTGGCCTCAGGGGGTTGTGAGTAACTGTGTGTGTATTCCTGGAGAATGGCTAGATAGAATCAATGTTCTTAAGGGGCAGTGACAATAAATTTATTGATGTTTCACAATTAAAATGATTTAGAGAAAATATCACATGTGAAACGTAAATTTTCATTTCTAAGCACTTCTAATTTTGCTAAGGCTTATTACATATATAGCAGGTCTCCTCAAAGCAATAGTTCACCCAAAAATGAAAGTTTGAAAACCTGTATGATTTTCTCACAGAGATATTTTGAAAAACATCTCTTTTTTGTGATCGACTTTCAATGCATTAACAAAAAAACATTCTTCAAAATCTCTTCTTTTGAGTTCCACAGAATAAAGAAAGAAAGTTTCAGAACAACACAACAGTGGATTTCATTTTTGGGTGAACTATACTATGAGTCTATGACATAAATATATTAGCAATTTTGCGGACTTAAACCACCCTCCAAACACATAGCAGCTAACCTGAAGTCAGATCATGCACAAATATTTGCAAATTATTATTCAAGTTTCTGTTGGTCTGGGCCTTAATTTAGATTATCTTATAGACAGGAAATGCTTTACAGTCATTCTGATCTTCCCTTCTACAGGCAGTTAAAAATGGCCAGGCAGCACTATTGGAATTGTAAAAGCTATAAAAGAGGATGTGCCATAACATTCTCTGAGGGCTGTTGGACTGAGGCGTTTTGCTAATGCTTACTAAATGCTGAGCCTCGCAGTTTGACGATCATTAGCAAACAGAAAGCATTCTGTTATAATAGGCGCTACGCATTTTAAGAGATTTATGGAGTGAATAGCATTAATTAATTGTTGTTTTTCAACAAAAAAGCTCTTGCTGCTGTGCCATAACCATGTTAAATGCCTGTTTAACAAGTAGAGCAGAGAGAAAACTTCAGAGTAAATAAATAGAGAAGGACAGAATACATCAGCCTCCCTCTGGTCTCACTATATGCTGGTATTTTAAATATATTGTATTGTATGCAGAACACACAGGCATGGCTGCACGATAATGGTGAAGGTAATAATCACAATCATTTTTCTCAAAAATTATAACCTTGATTATTAATCATGATTATTCTCATTTGATTTTTTTTTTATCAGAATTATTGCACTTTCAAATAAGCACAAATCAAGAGTGTGTCAACTCATATGCAGGGTTTATTCTACCACATCTAGTTTTCGAATTTACTTCTAAAACCATTCAATACTTTATGAAAACTGGTAAAACCTCAAGTAGCTTCTCTCAAAATCTAACACAGTGAAATTCATAATATTAATTCCAATAGTTCCAAATTACATTAACAGTTTTCTATTAAAAAAATAAAAATAAAAAATGCGGTTGCTCAATAAATTCATGTCACAGACATAGTCAGAGCACATAAAGACAAGCAACTTTTGTGAAGGAAGTAAGACTGGCTGTATTGCACATTAATTTGATGAAAACATCAAAATGGAGATCGCTAAACTCCAACATACAAGTTTGTTGTTGTTTTCAGAAATTCAGTCTTTTTTTTATTATTATTATTTTTTTTAAAGTGCAGAGAGAGCACACGTTTGCCAGATTGGGAAATTGCATAAAACACTGGGTGGAAAATGTATCTATATTTAAGAAAAGCTCTGATTGTGGCATTTAAACTGCTAACATATGGCAAACCCAAGCTTGAACGTTTGTGGAGGCTTGTTACCAATGCAAAATAATGGAAATGTCAAATGAAAATGAAAAAAAAAATAAAAATTCAGCATAAATAACAAGTGGGCCAATATTGCAGACAATTACGGTTGAGAAAAATCAATTGTGATCATGATTTAAATACAATTAATTGTGCAGCCCAAGAATAGAGATATTTGTTGATGACATATAGAAGCACACATTTCTCAAAACGATCACATGAATGTTACATTTTTGCAAATACTTTTATCCAAAGCGACATGCATTCAAGGTACACATTTCATCAGCACTTGCTTTCCCTGGAAATCAAACCCATGACCTTGCTGTTTTACTGTTTGAATGCTATGTATGCTGGGATAAAAGAGGAACTTAAGCTACCATGTGTGCTGACAGGAACACAACGTTACTATCTACTCCATATTCATCCACAGAGATCTGAAGCCCCTGGTAGTATATACATATTGTAAAGGGAGCACATAAAGAGGCTCTGATTGAGGCTTTAGATTGTAAATACAGACTGCAGGTTGATTGTGTGGCTCCTGTGCAAGCGACAAAATGCGTGTTTAAGTGCCGCAGTGCACTGATTGAGTTTTGGTGCGGCAGCCATGATTGGGATCACAAGCGATTGACATGCGAGCAGGCGTAACTTCAACCGGTGAACGTGTGAGGACGCATTAATGCTACAAGGGCAGCCATAATTACACAGTCATGGTGTTTTCACCAAACGGTGGGCTAACTCTGTAACTTGAGCGCTGGGAAAAACAAATAATTCACCGAGCTAAAGAATCAGAGGGCTAATTTTTTTCTAGCTTGTTTGTTTGGTCGGGTGGCTCCTTCTAGCTGCTAAAATGACTGATGGCGTCTTGTATTACAGTAATGACTTTGCATGCAGTCTACAGCTGAAGCTTTTCAATTTAAACAAACACTGGAGCTGCTGTGTGTTGTGTGCTGTGTGTATAATCATGGCTGGGAATAAGTGTTTAAGGAGAGCAAGAGGAAAGTAATTAAAACAGAGTGTACTACAGGAAGCACAGGGCACTGGCCTGTGACCAAAAACTGTTAACTCCAAAACCCTCACAGTAAATAGTGGCTGGATTACTACGGTTTTACTGGGAGACACTTCCCTGTGAGGTATGTGTGTGTATAATCATGGCTGGGAATAAGTGTTTAAGGAGAGCAAGAGGAAAGTAATTAAAACAGAGTGTGCTACAGGAAGCACAGGGCACTGGCCTGTGACCAAAAACTGTTAACTCCAAACCCTCACAGTAAATAGTGGCTGGATTACTACGGTTTTACTGGGAGACACTTCCCTGTGAGGTATGTGTGTGTGTGCACAAGTATGATTCTGAGGGGTGCTGTGTGTTTGTTTATGTGTGTAAGAGTCAGTAATCAAAGACTAGTCACCAATCAGCTGTTTTTCATTCAGATCCCTTAAGCCTCTTTCAAGGAATACGAACTAAGCAGAGTCTAAAATGGCTGCGTCCTCAGATGTGATTAGCAATTGCCCATCGCTCCCCCTCTTTAATCATCCACCCACTTATCTCCTCCTTTTCTTTATTTCCACCCTGCCTGTCTTTCTTCACAGCATGTCATTGTATCCATCCCTGCACTTCTGTCACCAGCCTCTCGCTCTCAGAATGAAATGATGAGGAGCCCTGCAGGAGGAGGAGAGGCGATCTAACTGGACTCCCTCCCTCTGTATCTCTGAAGCACCATCAGCGGCGGAGCATCACAGACTCATGCGACGCTGGAAGAGAATAGAGGGCAGTGGAAATGCTTCCGGAAAAGCTGCGGTGCTTCGAGACTATGCACCACTGACCTTTTACAGTCGGCTTGGGTCACTGTGGCACATTGCAATTATCTCTCTCTTGCTCGCTCGCATTGTTCAACTATTTATCATCTGCTATTTTTGTAGTTTCCCACCTGCTCAGAGATGCTCCTTTATGAAAATCTGTCTCAACTTCCTTCACTTCTTCACCTTTGATTTTTCAAGTTTTTCTCCACTTTAAGTCTTTCCATCCATCTTGCTGCCTGTCAGCACACTTTCTTTTTTACAGCCCTCCTTTCTTTCCCTCTATTTTCTAACTCTAATTTGACCTTTGGATCTTTGTTCTTCAGGCTCTTACACATTAAAGGGGTGGTTGATTGCAACTTTTTTAAAGTTAGGTAGTGTGTAATGTTGTTGTTTGAGCATAAACAATTTCTGCAAAGTTACGACACTGAAAGTTCAATGCAAACGGGGATATCGTCTTTTAAATGCCTACAAAAACGGCTGGTAGGGACTACAGCGAGTTAGTTCCCAGGTTTGTGTAAAAAACCCAGATAAACCCCGCCCCCGGGAACATGCAACAAAGGGGGCATGGCCATGTTGCGCTGCTTTAGAGAAGAGGAAGAGCTGTTGCCATGCCGTCAAAACTAGTAGGGGTGCATGAAAAAATCTATTCATATATGAATTGCGATTCTGTCTTCTAACGATTCTAATGGATTCACAAGTTTCAAAATCAATGTTCTAAAGCAGCGGTTCTTAATCCTGTTCCTCGCATCCCCTGCTTTGCACACACTCTGCTCTGCATCTCTCTCTCTCTCATTCAGGTCATCAACTCGTCACAGCTCCTTCAATGAACTGTTATAATTATATACACTTTGTGTGTATAGACAGACAGATATTTTTTCACATAGGTATGAAAAGTGTTAAACATGGACACGCACATGGTTGCCGTGCTGTATTAAAGCTTTAATCAGGATAAAACCATATATTAAAAACTAACATAAGCAGAAGCATTTACAAATAACAGCATATCTAAAAGTATGAGACAACAACAAACAAAAAACATACCATTAAGAGCCGTGTGCTTGCACAGGTTCTGCGCGATCCTCTTCACTAATATCCTCTGCGTCTCAATCGGGCTCAAATTGATAAGCAATATTGGTGATGTCATTGTTTACAATACAACCGGAGCACATGCCACTGAGGCGAGGGTCGTGATGTTTAGACGTGCTCTGGTAGTTAAGCGAATCACAACACACTGGGCCAGCTAACCAATCAGAGCCCATTGCATATCTCTGAGGGAGGGGCTTCATAAAACCAGGAAATCATCAGCGCATTTATAGGAGAAGGGACAGAGCGGTGTAGAATAAAGGTAAATTATGTGAAAAATAATGCCTTTTTTAAAAAACGAAGCAGTAACACATGTTAGACTGCACCCCATAAACACAATCAGGCCTAGAAAAAAAAAACCACCCCTTTAAAACAACTCTGACTGTTTGGTGGAGCTGTGACCTAGACGTTAGGAGGACAACACATACGAGAGGGTACATATCCTTCGCTCCTGATACTGTTTCATTCTCATTCTATTATCTACACTACTGTTCAAAAGTTCGGGGCCAGTACGATTTTTTTGGAAAGAAAATAATACTTTTATTCAGCAAGGATGCATTAAAGGGGACATGACACAATCTGCCAATCTCATGTTAATCTTGAGTACCTATAGAGTAGCATTGCAGCATTTTCACCCTTCATGACGTCATACAGGGCCATACTCAAAAAACACTTTCCGAACCCTGAAGGAGTGTATTTGGCATAGAAATACTCTGTCATATGATCAACTCGTTTTTAAAGGGGTCATATGATGCGATTTCAAGTTTTCCTTTCTCTTTGGTGTGTTACAAGCTGTTCGTGAATAGATAAGATCCCTAAAGTTGCAAAGACTAAAGTCTCAAACCCAAAGAGATATTCTTTATCAAAGTTAAGACTGGTCCACACCCTCCTAAAATGCCTCGTTTAAACAGGCCCCCACATGTCTACATCATGATGTGGGAAGATTCGCATAACACCGCCCAAATGTTCACGCAAAGAAAGAAGGCGTAACTTTATTGTTGCTGCCACTGCCGCCGCCATGTGTAAATACATCAGAATGCATGAAAAAGCATTAGACATCCCCTTTAAAATGAATCAAAAATGACCACTTGATCTTTCTATTCATCAAGGAATCCTGAAAATATTACCACAATTTCCACAAAAATGTAAGAAGCACAATTGTTTTCAACCCTGATAATAAGAATTAATATGCATTTCAATGCAAAAGCAGTGTTGTCTAAACTAACCACCCGCAATCCAGTTCAACTAAGCACTAAATGTGTTGAAATACTGCTGTGGTTATTTAAATTAACTTATTGTTATTCTTTTTAATGTAAACGTGTTAATTTTTAATGTTTTTAAATGTCACGCAACCAACACAGAAAATGTTTTAAAGAAATGCTTGTGCTAATTTTATATTGATCATTGCAATTATTAATCAAATGATGGAAAGGAACACTAGGTGCATATCCAGACATGCTACATAGTCGAACACACTTTTAGTGTTTTAAAAAGCCAATTCAGGTGTCACGATCGCTGTGATAGAGCACATTCTACAGTCTTGGTAAAGTGTGCCAAATGGAGAAAGTCCAAGTGCTGCATCCTCCATAAGAGAGCACTTAGAACCAATCCGCAAGATTTGCTATCGCCATGCAAACTGCTCATTTGTTTTGTAGCGTTTCCTGATTTGTATAATTCTTTAGCGAATTTTCGCTAATACAACATTGACAGCTCATGCAAATAAATGACTGCAAGCAGTGGGAATTGCCTCCTCAATGATAATACACTAGTGTTATAGATTAAAGGGCAGGAAGTAATGCTCTAATCTACCTTATTGATCCAGGTCTCAAATCCATCTTTGGTGGTGAGGAACAAATCTGTGAGAAAAGAAAGAGAGATAAAGAGAGAGAGATCATTAGTTATTTCACAAAATGACCAGACCTCCTTGCTTTGCCAGTGTGATTCTGATTCAAGTAAGCTAGTACTGCACTGAGTGTGAGAGCCATCATCAACAGGTGGAAGTATAGATCCCTGTGACAGAAAGAGAACTGGACCAGCGCCATCTTGCTGGCAGCAGCGGCTCCTCATTCAGTCCTGCCACACATTATTGCACAGTAAGAGACTTTGCCGAACCTTAATCAAACAAACTTGGAAGTGAGGAAGAAAGCAGCAAGGAGATTATAACAATAGACCCTGGATGGAAGGATACCGACAAAAGCACAGTTGAACCAAGGAGATCGAATACACGTGTGAAACCGTAACCCATGAGCTCAATGTATTGACATATTAAACACAAGCCCAGCTGTGAAACAGTGTTGTTATGGAGATGGAGCAAGACGCATGTAACAGCCCTGTGTTATTTTTGTAAGACTTTCATATGCAGCAGTCAATGCTTCAGGTGTGCGAGAGTGAGAAAATGCAAGAAGAGACGGTCATAGCATGGAAAACATTTTATTTACTCTTTTAAGATAACAAGTTCAATTCTTTATGTAAGTACTCTAAAACTGGTCTGTCCACACAGAAATCAAATTGTTGGGAAATACAATATTGCAGCCAATAAGCACATATTTGATGTTTAATGGATTTTTAAACAATGATTTTTCAGTGTGGGCAGGGCTGCATGACAGATGATGACAGTTCATCCATATTACTATGAATGGGAGAAACTGCAAGGCACAATTGGCAAAATCATTGCATCACTGCAGCTGCTGATAGAAGATCTGGTTCTTATAGAAACGATCTGTATCCTGAAATGTTTGCTTGGTACTGCACATGCACCTTGGCTTAGCAACCTGAAATATGCTTTAAGAAACATTTATGGGACAGGTCATGTCATATTTTGCTGCCGAATAATTTTAATTTTGTTTAAATATTTAATTTAAATGTGATTTTGGCGCTTCTCATTAACCAGTTTAATTGGATGTTTGGCCAATCACAACAGAGGGTATTTTCATGTGTCTCAAACATTTCGTAGCAAAAACAGCCTTTTTCATATTATAGGTCATAGAAAGGATGGAAATGGTCATGGAAAACCTAAATAAATAAACCTTGATGAATCTGATTAATATTATAAGAGAAGCATAAAGAAAAAAATAAATTGCTGCAAAGAAGCAGAATGTGGCCCCTTAAAAGGGATTGTTCAAAAATGAAAACTGTCCTCATTTACTTACCCTCACATAATTCAAAACCTGTATGACTTTCCTTTTTGTGCAGAACACAAAATAACATATTTTGAGAAATGCATTTTTTTTGTTCATACAAATGGAAGTCTGTGGTTGGTTTCAAACATTCTTCAAACATCTTTTGTGTTCTGCAGAAGAAAGAAAGTCATGTAGGTTTGGAATGACGTGAGGGTGAGTAAATGATGATGGAGTTTTAATTTTAGTTTGACCTACCCCTTTTAAGGAAAAAAAAGGGTGAGCCTGTGGTTGAGTTTTAAAGCCAGTGTCATGAGGTGGGCCGGGACAGATGTTTGAAGCGATTAGGGCATCTGTGCTTGTGCTGACCTTTGAGGAGAAATAAAGAGCAGATACTGTATTCAAGAGCTTGTGCTTTGGCTGTAAACCTTTGTCCTCTGCCTCTCATTTTGTCCTTTTCCTCGTCCTCTTGAAAAAACCTTTTCCTCTCCCTATCTCACTCCTCCAGGTCTCACACATTCCATCTCTTATCCCTCTTCTCTCTCTCTCTCTTTCTTGGTGAAGTGGTGTTCCCTGTGGGAGTGGAGAGCTCGCTGGCAGTGGCTGATGAGGTGCGGAATAAACAGCTTCATTAATCAGACTTAGAGCAGTGCCACTGGTACAGTCGGCTGATTACACTCAGGTCTGGGGCCTCACATGTGCGCGCACACACACACACACACACAGTTCTCAGCGTACATTGTCATACACCAGCACCTTTAAATAGATGGCGAGTTCACTTAAAAGATTTTCTGCTGATGTGTAAAAATATTTAAAAATATTTTATTCTAAGTGACTACTACAAAGGATAGAGCTTCTAACACATTCAGCAGTTTGACAAGTGAAATGTTAACATGACCCTGAAAACAGGTCCTCTTCCAAAATGTCATTTTTAAATTACAATTTTTACCATGTGGTTTTGGTGCCAAAATAAGCAGCAACTACAGCAAATCTTGCATTGGTTGGACAAGTTTATTCAGACACAATGGGTTTTTATGGGTTCTCAAATTCTATTCTATAAACTTAAAAGAGCACCTTTATATATTAATAATGACAGTGATAGACATATTGAATGCGTGCACTGCAAAGGCTGAGACGGACACTCTCAATAAACCTTTCAGAAACTACTTCACTCTCACTGAAGCTTTTAAAATGTCAAATCAAGTTTTTTTTTTGTTAACACAAATCAAACACGTTTGTTTCTCAAGGCCAGTTTAAGCCGCTTTAAATTGCTTTCTTGTGAAAAAGTTAACAAGTAGGATGGCCTTATGCAGCACGTCCATGGACCCCAATCGGTGTTCACCTTCTGATATATGTTTTTTTAAGAATTGCAAGAGCTGTTCAAAACAGACAGCTCCAATCTGACTGATTGGCTGCTTTGCCAGTCCACCTGGAAACCAAGTTTTGTTTACAAGGCAGCAAGCTGCTACAGCTGACACCTCCAAGGAAGATCTAGTTGCTGGATTCAGTTTGGAAAGTCTATAGCATCAAATCTTTGAAAGATATTCAAGAGTTTTGTTTGAGGCAATCCGAGTAGCAAGTAAACGCTCCAGTTACTCATGTAACCTTGATTCTCTGATATAAGGGAACGAGCGATGCGTCATCGTTTGACGACTACTTGGGGAAACTCTGGTTTACTCTATTACTGAAGCCTGATTGGTTAACGTTTGTGTAGTTGCACAAACCAATGGTGCACGAGCCCACCAGAAGGGGCGAAGCCGACCGCTATATAAGTTGGCTCGGAGCGCCATCTCATCAGAATCATACAACTGAAGCGACAGCCATCGATTCGTGTGCAGCTATAGCATGGCCAGTTACGCAACGCTCGTTCCCTTATCTCAGGGAATCGAGGTTACGTGAGTGAAAGGTAACTCCCGTTGCATCGTCGTTTGATGACTGCTTGCGGTGCTATAAGGAGATGCAGAACTTAGCCTGCTCTGCGAGCTCAGCCAAGGAACACTCAGCGAGGGCTCCATAATCCTGAGCCACAAAGATACCCGAGAACGTTCTGAGGTCTACTTGAGATAACTCTCCCCGCCCGAGGGGGGGGGGGGGGTTGGGTAAGCATTAGGCGGATAAGAACCGCGGCTATTGTAGCGCTTATAGACGTCCAAATTTTAGAATCGAATAAAGGTAGAAAGTGACGACCAGCCGGCGACCGCACAAATCTCCCCAAGAGGAGGCCATTCCTCTGGTGGAATGGGCCCTCACACCTAAAGGGCATTGCAAGCCAGCTGAGGCATAAGCCAGAGCTATAGCATTTACTATCCAATGAGATTGTCTTTGCTTTGTGACAGGCAGCCCTTTAGAGCGGCCTCCAAAGCACACAAAAAGCTGCTCTGATTGTCTGAAAGACTCTGAGCACTTAATGTAAACTCGTAGTGCCCGGACAGGGCATAACAAGTTGGGACCTTGTTCGCCATCCGTTCCAGGGAGGGCTAAAATTGAAATGACCTGGGCTCTAAACGGAGTTGAGAGCACCTTCGCTATATAACCGCTGCGCGGTTGAAGATCAACTTTACAGTCATTGGGTCCAAACTCAAGACAGGAAGCACTGACAGACAGGGCTTGTAAATCCCCTACTCGCTTGACTGACGCCAGGGCCAAAAGCAGAGCGGTTTTGAGTGTCATGACCCTTAAGCCGGCTGTTTGAAGTGGCTCAAAGTGGGAGCTCTTGAGAGCTCTCAGGACTATAGACAAGTCCCATACTGTCACCGTCCTAGGGCGAGGAAGGTTTAACCGCCGAGCGCCTCTAAGAAACTTAACAACCAAGTCATTCCTGCCAATTGTCCGGTCAGCCTCGAGAGAATGATTCGCCACGATGGCTGCCACATAGACTTTGAGCGTGGAAGGGGTGCACCTGCAAAAAAGTGAGCACGTGGGACACGTCACATGATACCGGATCCTGGTTCCGTGCTAAACACCAGTCACTGAAGACTGACCACTTTAGGGCATAGAGACGCCTTGTAGACAGAGCTCTAGCCTCTAAAATGGTATTAGTGACTTTCGCTGGGAGTTGGCTAGACTCCCGTCGAGTGGCATGACATGAAGGCTCCACAGTTCCGGCTGGGAATGCCAAATATTGCCCTGCATCTGCGAGAGAAGGTCTCTCCTCAGTGGTATTGACCACGGTGCTGCATATAGCAGCTGGATCATCTCCGGAAACCACATTTGGTTCCTCCAGTGAGGGGCCACAAGGATGAGAGAACACATTTTGCGCTTTTCCACTGCGTGGTACGACTCGGCTCGGCTCGCTGGATCCGCTCCTCTGCTATCAACGAGAGGAACATCTGTTCTTCCGCAACAGACAACAAAACTTTTTGGTTGTTAAAAAAAGACTAGACATAGTCTCAGAAAAATGGTTGCAGGGATCTAATTTTTGAACAGATTTGAAATCTAAACTCATGAGACATGTGACTTTCAACCCATTACTTTTCTGGATTGCTCCAGGACTGATTTAATGTATTTTTATATGAAATTTAAAAAAAAATCAGGGTTGCCCAATTTTTTTCAAGGCACTTCAGTGTCTATAACTTTTTATCTTTTTGAGCATTATCAACTCTGGATGATGGATAGTAAAGCCCAAAGGGTCTTCTTTCCAAATACACCAAAATTGTGTGTGTAGCACACTGAAGTCAGGAACTGTTACCATTTTAAGTTAGGAACTTGTATGGCATCTTGTGCAAAATGGGGGGTGCAGG